CCCCAAAACCCCAAAACCCCATGATATTTGAAATTAGTGAGGAAGGGGAAACTGATAATTAAATTATCTTTATTTTTAAACAAATAATTATGAGCTGTTCAGTGAATTGAGTAAATAATCTAATTATACTAATAATAATTAGAATGAAATCAATCATTACCTTTGCTTCAATATCCATTTTTGCGACCATAGTAACCTCTTAAAATTCAACATACAAAAGAGGATTGACTGATCATTTCATACAATTCTTGAATCTAAACAAGAATTATTATCCTTACAATTTTAACAGGACCTAGTTTTTTGGTGGATCATTTGGAGGAAAAGATAATGATACTTCGCCAATCACCAAAGTCCCAGTTGTCTTTGTGCATGGAGCAGCTGATATGCTTTATGGTGATAATGATTCAAACAATGGTTTTAGGTACTCAATAGAGTATTTCATATAAAATGGATACACTAAATCTGAAATATATGGATCAATGTGGGGGTTCGGAGACACGTCTAATTAAAAAAATCTTGTTCATAGCACTGAGTGGATATTGTATATATGAAGATTTATTGAAGCAGTTTTAGATTATACAAAATCTACACAGGTTGATGTTATTTCTCACTCGATGGGAGTAACTCTATCAAGAGCAGCAATAAAAGGTGGTGAGTTTGATCTTGAGGATATATAGATAATAAAACTGAATTCATTAGGAAGTAGAATTAGGACATACATAGGCATAGCTGGAATTAACTATGGATTTATGGTTTGTCTCAATGAAACAATCAGTCATATTAGAAATTGTGATAAAATTTTAGGGTTTTACCCTGGTATGTTAGATAACAAGACAAATACAACTATAGATTAATCTAAGTTCTTATAGTAGATAAACTAGAATAAAGCAAAGGAAGGTACCTATGCTTATTCTATTCTTTCACTTTATGATTAAGTTGCAAAACCTTATGTCTATGGTGGAAATTATACCTCTGTATTTCCAACGATGGACATGGCTTTTATTTTTAATAGCTCTTTGTATACTCATTGTTAGGTAAGAGATTTATCTGCAGAACTTCAATTAAGATTACTAAATTCATATCATGAAGACATTAAGGAAACATCCGAAATGAATAAATTCATATGAGAGGTAAAGCAATAATGATTAATGAATCATTAGGTAAAGTTATTTAAATAAGATTTTATTAGTTTTTATTCATTACTCCATTCATACTTTATAATTTATAGTTGGGGTTTTGGGGTTTTGGGGTTTTGGGG